TGAGCTGAACACATTTCTTGTGCAAAAACCAATGTCATACATTTTTTTCTGTAAAATATCAAACAAAGTTTCTAATTTTCCTAGAATATCCTCAAATAAACTTAAAAAGAATTTAGAATAAAATTTTTGCAATGTAATGTAAAATCCTTAGGAACAAATTAATGTCTCTCCATCGCAAGTTGCTACGTCAGTATGCATTTCTTTAAATAGTTCGAGAAGCTTTGAACGAATACAAGAAACAGCCTTAACGAGTGTACCATCATAAATCCACCTTAGTGCTGCTAATTTTGGTAAACGTTTTTTTGCTAATGTATCCAAAGCAGCAGCCCTTTTGGACGATTTTGAAAAAAATGTAGCAAGCCCTGATAACGTAATTAGAGAAACTTCTTTGACTTTTTCTTTTACCATTTTTTTCTTTTAGGTCTATACTTGATTATTTTCATTGAACTCAATGGTCATTTTCTCATGGGCGTTTACTTATTTGAGATCTATCAAATTCTCTATTTTTGATGTCCTAAAAAATCAACAATGTCCTGCCTATTTTTTTAACCTAAGCTTTAGATATGGTTAAAATAAGAATTTTCGTTCATTTAACAACTTATTTTATTGCCTTAACCCTTCATCAAGTTACCTTGTTTTATATTACCAAAGGTGGTTAAGTCTATAAGCTTCGTTGGGTTCTGTAAGATAATACACGCCAAAACTGCCTATTGTATTGTTTTTATACGTAGCTGAATGGATATATTAAGTGACCAAACTATAATAGAAATCTTCCTATGCTTATTTATTGTTTGTCTTTGAGGAAGTAGGTATTATTTTACAAGTAATAGAATATTTCAACGAACTGAGTCGTTATTGCCAATGTTTTTATGTGCTCAAGGAGATAAAATATTTGAAAACAGGAATTTAGAATCCTACGAGCGCATATAAAAATCTAATAAAAAAATGTTTGATAAAAAAAATGTTTACTTTACATTTTTTGCCCACCATCATAAATTGTACCTAGTGAATGTAAATTCTGTGGATAAATGCAGAAAACCAATAAAGCGATATTTGTGTCCAGTTCCAAAAAAAAATATTATTCAAGATAGCAACCATGCGGCTCATCATCAACATCTTTGGCTCTTATAAATGTATTTCGTATTTTGAGAACGATTCCAAAGTGGAAATTGAAACGTCAATAAACGTACTTTAATCTTTAATTGTGGCTTATTCCCATTTAAATAGTAATTACTTTAAAATGTCACAAAAAATATCTTCAGAACAATATTATGTTTTTCTCTGCACTTATTTGGGTTTTGTTTCTATATTTTCTGCTTTGTTCCATGATTTCCAGTATTACTGAGTCATCCAAGGTTTTCGGCTTTCTGTTTTGTTTTGTGGTATTTCTTTCTGTGTTTTTATAACAGAATCTTTGATTTTGCTCCACATAATGTTCACATTCTCAGTGTTTTTTATTTCTGATGTTAATTTCTTCATTTTTTGATTGATACAAGTTGAAGCCCCAGCACGGATTTAATTTATCTTCAGTAACTGAGTATTCACCTTGGAACTTTTGGATTTTATTATCTTTTTTACCCTCAGTTTGATTTTTGAGACAAGGAGGTTATGGTCTGAGGAGACATCTGCTCCAGGAAAAGTCTTACAATGGAATTTCTAAATCTTAGATTGGTTAGAATAAAGCCGATCTAATTTCTAATGCAATTTTGTTCATTATCCTTTGGTGACCTCTAGTCTGTATACCTGGTGTTTTCTTCTTGACAAAATTGAGCCAATCTGTCGCTTCTAGCATTCCTTATTCCTAAACCATAATCACCTATTATATTGTCGACTTGGCCTTTTCCTATCTTTGCATTTAAATCACCCATTATTATAGTAATTTCTTCCTTTCTTATGTAGCCATCCCATGCTAGCTGAAATTTTTTATGGAAGTCGGTGGCTCTGACTGTTTCATTAAATAACCACTTACAGGAACTCTTCTTTAAATTAGTTTCTCAATAAAAATTGCGATGGCTCTTTCTGTTCTTTTTAATAATACATCCCTTGAGTAAGATGTAAATTTTGCACTTAATTTTGTACCAGACATAATAAACTTTCTTATAGCAACTTCATTAGATCCTTCTCCATTTTCTAAGCGATCTAAAATTGCAATTTTCTTTCCCAACGAAATTGATTGTTTTTCATGTTTTTTTCTCCATTGGGCCAAATAAAGAAATAAATACGATATTGAGGTAATTAAAATCTCTTCCAATAAAAAATTAAACTTTACGACACTCCCTTAAAACATTTCAATCCGAAAATCGTGCTGCTTATTATATTGCAACTTAGAATCAGCAAAATTTTAAACAACTTATAAAACGAAGCACCGCTAAGAGAAAAATTATGTTAAAACAATAACAGGTTATACCTTTCAACAAGGGAATCACCGAATTGCAAAGACTCACTTTATTGATATCTGGATGTGAATAGTTCATCATCATCACTGGCTCGACAACCCTTTTTGGGTCTTGGCCTGTTCAAGGATTCTTCTCCATTCTGACCTGTTTCGTGCTTTTTTTTTCCAGTTTTTAATTTTTAATGTTGTTATATCATTTTCTATTTGTTCTACGTATCTCAGCTTCGGTCTTCCTCTTGTTCTTTTTCCTACTGGCACTTGTTTGAATATTTTGTTTGGTATTTCGCCTTCTTCCATTCTTTCCACATGTCCAATCCAACGTAGCCTTCCTATTTTAATGAATGTTATGATATCCGGATCCTGATATATGTTGTATAGTTCAAAGTTATACCTTCTCCGCCAAATCCCGTTTTCTTTTGTGCCCTTATATATGTGTCGCAAGATTTTTCTTTCAAAGGTGGCTAATAACGTTTCGTCCCTTTTAGAGAGTGTCCAGGTTTCTGAACCGTATGTGAGTACCGGTCTTATTAAGGTTTTGTATATTTGGCATTTTGTTTTTCTGAAGACGTTATCTGATCTTAGTTGCCTAATTAAGCCATGGTAACATTTATTGGCAATAAATATTCTCCTCTTCACTTCCCCTGCAACGTTGTTATCAGACGTAACTAGGGATCCTAAGTATGTAAAGTTTTTTACCGCCTCAATGTTGTATTCTCCTATTGTTAAATTTGGCAGCTGTCTTATTTGTGCGTTTTTATTTGCAGGCATATATTTTGTTTTTGTCTGATTGATTTTAAGACCACTATTTTTTGCAGCTCGTTCTATTTGAGTGAATGCCTCTATCATTTATCTTCGTGATCTTGCGATTATGTCAACATCATCTGCAAATGCTAGTACTTGCACGCTTTTATTAATTATTGTTCCTCGGGTATTAACTGTTGTGTCTCTTATTATTTTTTCAAGTATGATGTTGAATAATATGCATGATAGAGCGTCTCCCTGGCGTAGTCCCTTCTTCACATCTATTGTTTCCGTTAATTCGTTTTGTATCCGGATTTTACTTTCTACTTTTAGTGTTTCTTTTATCAATTCTATTAGCTGTGTTGGTATATTAAATTCTTTCATTGCTTTTGTTAGTAATTCTTGGTTTATATTGTCATATGCGCTTTCGAAGTCTATGAAGAGATGATGTGTGTCGATGTTATATTCACTTGTTTTTTCAAGGATTTGTCGCAGAACAAATATCTGGTCTATTGTTGACTTCTGTCTACAGAAGCCACATTGGTATTTGCCAATACTATTTTTTCAGCGTATGGTCTAAGTCTTTCATACATTACGTTGGACATTATTTTGTATGCCGCATTCAACAGCGTGATTCCACGGTAGTTTTCACATTCTAACTGGTTTCCTTTTTTATGTAGTGGTACAATAATGCCGCTATTCCACTCCTTTGGTAGCTGTTTATTCAACCATATCTTTCTTATCAGCTCATGTATGGCTTTAAGTAATGCGTCTCCTCCTTCTTTCAGTAGCTCCGATGATATTTGATCCGATCCCGGTGATTTATTGTTCTTTAATTTGTCCACTGCTGTTCTAATCTCTGCTATTGTTGGTGGACTCTTTTCTCTGTTGTCTGCTTGGTCTAACGGTACATCAGGGTTCATCTCCGTCCTATTCACCCCAAGCTTTTCCTTAAAATGTTCTGTCCATCTTCTAAGTATCTCTTGCTGTTCTGTCAATATATTACCCTCCTTATCTTTACACATCGTTGTTCTCGGTTTGAACTCTTTTCTGCTTTTGTTGAGTTTCTGGTAAAATTTTCTTGTCTCTGTTGGTTTACTTAGTTCTTGTAGTTGAATGTGAATAGTTAATAGTTAATAATAGAATTTTTTGGATGAAATACAAACCTTCTTTTTCCTATGGTGCCATATAAAGTTAGGGGATGTTGCCGACAATTCTGGCATACTCCTCTCGATCTGGTCTGGCTCTAACGATTGCATGGGCTTTAAGAACTGGTACTTGTAATTTCGGAATATATGACCCAGATAAGCAGTTTTTTTTATTATTGGCAGCAATTCTCGTTCTCTGCCAAATACAAACCGCACAACTTTAAAATCGCATAAAAATAATACGCATAGAAAGAGACCTTACTGTATACCTTTTTTTGATTGAAAAAATGTATCTTTAATAGTTTTTGACAAAATAGTGCTAACTTAAAGAGCAAAAAAGTTAAGCGCAAATTTATGTCACTTATATGGCTTCCTCTATCAGCTACATTAAAGTATGAATCAAATTATAATTTCCATATACAAAAACCCCCTGTTATAAATGTTTGTACATAAATATCCACAAACATGAAAGTTATTAACGAAAAATAAAATTTTAAATTTCAACACCCTGTATCTTTCATAATATCAACGTTTTATAAAGGCATGTTGACTGAAATCGTAATATTTTAAGGTGTACAATCTACTGTTTCTTTCTGTACAATTACTTAAGGATCACCCAGTATATGCTAAAATATTTACTAAATAATAATTTATCGACCTCGAACAGTATCATTTGATTAGAATTACATCTAAATCTCACCATCAAACCACAGCTCTCAGACATACTCACTGTTGTGCCTAGCCGGGGGGCATCCCTGACCCACGGCCGAGGGATTCGTGGGTGCGAAGTGCCCCCCAGGAGGGGCTGTGCCGGGAACTCCAGTGACGTGTACCGGAAGTTGTAACCTGGTGCAACTGGAAATAAGCCCATTGCTTCGGTCACCTCCCGTCGATAGGTTCACGACACTTAGATCCGTAGCAGAACCTACAGGATTACCTGAAATTCAAATAGGGTATCATATTTTTGTTGATAGATATCGATTTTATGGAGACTACTAAATATCTATCTGAATTGGCCCTCAAATTTTGTATTTTTTTTACTTTGGTAGTAGATTTTAAGTCATAGCAGTCTGTCTTAGAGTTTGAAATAAATTCTAACAATTTGTGGATTTCTCGTTTTAGTTTTTGGTTTGGTTATGGAAGCATAAAATTGTTTATTAGATTTCTACACTGATTTTTTAAACGTGTGTCTGATTTTGACAGTTTTTATGACAGTGATTCAAATCTCTCTACATCTATATTGGACCTCGACGTTGAAACTCATAGGTGGATTCTACAACGCCACAATCGTACAATATTTTATTATGGAAAGTCGTTTGTGACATTTAAGTTATCAACCGGTAGAGTCTATTGAACTTGAGATCTATTTGTTCCTTTCGTAAATATCTATATCTATGTCAAGGGATTACGATAATTTGCGCAGTCAAATTTTTGTCCACAAAAGAGGAAAGTCAACAGAAAAGAATTCAAGACAACCACAAGACAATGGAGAAGCCAGAATAGCGATCTATTAACAACCAGGAAAGATGTATTGAATAGATGGGTGGAATATTTTAACCAGGCACTTAATATATAGGAAGAACAAAACCTGGAAGACGAAAGAGGAACAGACGAGAGGGAAGAAGAACCACCAATGATTTAGTTAAAAAAGATGCAGTTAAAAAGCTAGCCAAAAACAAATCAACCGGAATCCGGATAATCTCTCAACCGAACTATATAAAGAAGATGTCCATGATACCATAATGGCATTACAGCAGCTTGTAAAAGAAATATGGATACAGAAATCCCCTCTCAAGGATTGGAATATTGGAAAAAAAGAGATATCTTTGATTGCTCTAATTACAGAGGAATTACGCTTGTAAAGGCAGCGTATAAAATATTTTCCGTTTCAGTACTATCTCACCGTAAGGCACTATATACAGAACGGATAGTAGGAAAATACCAGGCTGGTTTTAGAGGTAGTAAATTGACAATTCATCAGATAGCAACCCTGAAACAAATTTTGGAAAAAACACTGAAATATGGCATTGCTACTCATCACATATTTATAGACTACGAAGCAGTCTACGACTCCGTGAATAGAAGAGAAACGTTCAAAGCAAAGAGCTAGGAATACCAAATAATATTACTGCAGAGATAAACCACAGAATTTGCACGGCCAACAGATGCTATTTTGGGCTTAATTTCGTCCTTAAATCCACAATTATATCGAAAAATACAAAAATAAAACTCTGCAAAACAATAATACGCCCAGCCCTAACATATGGTTCACAGACCTGGACTCTAGCCAAAAATAATGAAAACAGATAAGGATCTTTCGAAAGAAGAGTACTAAGGCGAATCTATGGAGCAGTGAATGACAATGGAGTGTGGAGAACACAATACAACTTCGAACTTTATAAAATAATCCAGAAATCTGGATTATTTTATAAAGTTCTGGACTGGAGAGAAATTCCTGAGGAGGCTAAAACCCATGCAGGTTTGTAAAGCCAGAATAATAATGATGATAAAGAAGGAAAGTAGCCACTTTTTAAGGAATCTTCTTCCTATGCCTTCCCATTAACGGATGTTGACGACTATATTTCTAAAAGTTTCTCTTCTAAAATAATTCGTCTACAGTCATGTTTGTCCAGTCTCGAATATTTCGCAGTCATGACTTCCTCTTTCTACCTATTCCTTTTTTGCCATCGACTCTACCCTGCATCGCCTCTACCCTGTAGCATTTTCAATTTCATTGATTTTTTTGAGTATATTGAAACCTCCTCGTATAAAAAAATATATTAAAAACTCCTTATATATTTTTAAAAAATGAAACGAAGAATTTTTCCGTGTTGTTAGTTCGTATCTTTCAAAGTACCCAAAAGTGTTTCGTCGCCGAGTAATAAAACCATTTGAGAGTTGTTTATTTTACTTCGGCAATTTCTTTTAATGTTCATACGTCGCAAAAGGATATCTACGTTTTTATTTCCGTTGTTTGTTTATTTTCAAGTTAAGCGAAAAAATTTTTAATTTCGTCACTCTCGTTGGAACCGCGAGCAAGAGCGGTTCAGCGTTATGTCCAAATTCATATCGAGTTTGTAAAATTTTCTGTTTTTTCGTTGATTGTGGTGGAAATGGGTAGCAGTAGTGATGGATTTTGTCCAGTATGAAGTGACTGACAATAATTTGCCGGGAGTAGTGAAGTTTTCGCTCGATATTTCGAGATTTTTGAAAAGTCTGGTTTCTGTTGGAGGGTTCATGTTTTTTTTGAGAGTTCCCGTTTTCCCTGGTGTGTTCCGGCCCCCAATGGATGTCCTGTTCCTGTTTCGGCCCCAAATGGATGTGTTTGCTGCTGATCTCCGGATGGATGCTACAGAGATATAACAAGTTCTTTTTGTGAAGTGGAAATATGTAAATCAAGGTAACTGTTTTTTTGTGTTCAAATTTTAAACTAAAGACAGACAATTTTTTTTATGAAATAATAATTGCTTTCGTTACATTTAAAATTGTAAATTTTTGGTTTTTAGTTAAGCTGTCAATTTATGTGTTTAGTTTTTTTGAAATTTAATGTTAATTTATGACAGCTCGTTTTATTATTTTTTGATTTTACTTTGTTTTGTTAAAAAAAAAAGTTAACCTCCATGCAATTTTGTAAGTTTTGTAGCAACAGAGTTTGTAAGCGGATGACACATCTAAGTTTTTGTGTTCTGTTTTTTCTCCATGTAACTGTTTTGTAGTGACACATAAATAAATGTTAAATTTTGTTGTCTTAACATTTTATTTATTATTTTTTTGAGCTAAACCTTTTTTGATTTTTATTTGAAAAAGATATTGAAAAAGATATGTTTTTTATGTTTTAAATTTTTTTTCTAATTATCTCCCTAGTTACAACTAGTGGTTGTAATAGGCATAATTAGGCACCTCAAGTGGCGCCCTATATTAAATTCCTTGAGGTGTTTCTTGTTTATTTTTATTTTGTTTATCTTAAGAGATTAAGGACCCCTTTATTTCATTTTTTGTAGTTGCCCCATTTACCCGCCTTATCTTTTACTTATCCACGACCCCAGCTCTCCTACCAAACCCTGAGTGCCGTTCGCACAAGTAGCGATTATTTTGCTTGCCTTATCTCCACCCCTTTAGTTTTCTTCCCTTGTATTAATGCCCCCTGTGGTAGGCAAAATATTTATCGTTACAA